GAGAGAGAGAGAGAGAGAGGAATGAATCATCAGTCGAAACAGAATAAAAGCACATATACTGAATGAAAAGCCACAAGCCAAAGCAAGATTAGAGAGAGAACTAGAGAGAGAAAGACCCAAAATAGAGAGAGAAAAACCCAGCATATACAAAACAGAGACAGACTCGAAATCCCTAACATCCAGAACTAGAGAGAGAAAACCAGCTAATCGAAAACAGATAAAGAATCAACAATCAGAATTCCCAACATGAAAACTAGAGAGAGAATGAACCAATTCCCCTATCACAAAACCAAACAATACCAAGAAAAACTATACCCACCGGGTTCCAGGGTCCACCTCCTTGAGTATCGAAGTATTCGAAACGACCACCTCTGAAACAGCGGTTTTGAGCGCACTCTCGTGATCCAGAGAACCACTCACTTTCGCCAAATACCCAATCACATCAAGCGCGCTCAAAATCCCCACAAACCTCTGCTGCTTCATCTCCCCACTCTCAATACCCTTCCCTTTCCTCTTCTTCCAAACCATAATTGCACTCTCTGTACAATCCCCAAGTGCCTTAATCGCCATTTCCACACTCTCCGTCTCATAAAACTCCTGCAATTCCGGTTTTCCAACCGTTAAATCCCCGACCACATGATACAAGAAAACAGCTGCCATGGCCAGAAGGGGCTCCTGTACAGAACCAAAACCAGTTTTAGGAAAGAACCAGAGGGGGTTTGGGCGGCTGGTTGGGTGAAACCGGAAATGGGTTTCTGCCACCAAACCAGAAGTGATTTCCGATGAAACCAGAAATGGGTTTTTGCTATAACAGGGAATGGAGAAAGATGAGGAGCAGGAGAAAGAAAGCAAGGGGTTTGGGTGGGTTTAGGATGAGCAAATGGTGGAGAGAAGGCATGGCGAGAAAAAGGAAAAGAAGCCCATGAAAACGGTGGTTTTGGAAGATTGCAGGGAAACCGGTAGTTCGGATTAGGTGGTTTTAGGAGAGAGAGAGGACGCGGATCGTGGTCCTGACTCCTTTTGATCCGTGGTTTCTGGATATGTCTCAGCGGTGACCGAAGTGCATGCAATAATGAGCGAATGGTGTACCTCTCGGGTGCACTTTCAAATACTAAGGTTTAAATACTGGCCTTAAAAATATTTTTATCTTTAATTATAAAATATATGGTTTTTCTACTGAAGATCTTCGTAACAGCCTTAAAAATATTTTTATCTTTAATTAAAAATTTTAAAGCTTCAAATAGTGTAGATTGAAGAGATTTATGAAAATCTTGAAAATTAAAGGTTTAAAAATATATTATAAAATATATTATTTCTAAAACTTGAGATCTATTTTTTTCTAATGTCCATGCATCTTGATGTCGAGATGATGAATTTGAGGATATTTGGACATTTAAACAACCTCTTATAATGAAATTTTGAGGTGTGTTCTAATTTGATTGTTTAGAGCCTTGATTCTATACAAATTTTTTCAAGCATTTTCTGTTTTTTTTACTCTTTTTACTTTTTTTTAGAGATGGAGTTTCTATAAACTTAGGCTTCATGAAAACAAAATAAAGGATTCACGTCATCCAGGAACCTTTTAACAGCAAAAATAGTCATGATGGCTCTAAAATCAATTTCCAATACGTTTATTGTAAGGAAAATTCTTTCATGGGGCTCCACCATATTTTTATATATACAATCCAGAGGTACAAAGCATCCATCTTAAAAATGGATGCAAATTGGTAGTCCCTCTAAAAAAGTGAAACTAATGATCCAAATGTTTTTTTAATAAAATTATTATTTTTAACTTTCAATTTTTATTTATTTTTCATATTCATGATCTCCATTTTTTTTTTTTTTTGAGTAATAAAATATTCATGATCTCCATGTTACAGATTACATGTCCTGAAAAATTAAGTCCAATAATCCATCTCAAAAATAGATTTTTAAGAGGTGCTTCATTTCTATGTGCACTCATAGAAACCAAGTCGAAATTATAACTAAAAAAATAATACAGATCTTATGGATCTTTGAACACTTGTTTTTAGTTAGAGCTTGAAATCTTTTTTTTTTTTTCACAACCATAATGCTCTGGCCGAGATGATCCATGTAAAAGTTTTCGATACTTGAATTGTCATTTTTTATGAGTTATGAGGTGAGCCTTTATTTATTTTAATAAGGCTGCAGCCCTATCAAACTATTTTTCTTTTTTTTTTTCTTTTTTTTTAGGATTTCCAAAAGAGAAAGTGTTAGTTGAATGGGCCAACTCACATTGCGACCTCCCTGCAAAATATATCTCAAAGATATATTGTCCATCCAAATATTTAAAGTGCCTTAATCTCAATGATGACAATGATCTAAATTTCAGAACTTTATTTTTAAATTATAAATATTAATTTTTTGAATTCCTTTCTTCACCCTCCATTTTAGCTTTTGGTGGATGTAACCCATTTTAGCTTTTGGTGGATGTAACATTTTTTGGCATCTATAATGGAGATGGTCGTTACATAGACAACGGACCGTACGGCTAACTCACCAAAACCATGTCTTCTCCAAAAAAAATTTGAATTCCTTTCTTCACCCTCCATTTTAGCTTTTGGTGGATGTAACATTTTTTTGGCATCTATAATACAGATGGTCGTTACATAGACAACGGACCGTACAGCTAACTCACCAAAACCATGTCTTCTCCAAAAATTTAAGACGAATTTTAGTTAATTAAACAGCTGACCGATTTTGGGAGAAGTAAAATGGATTTTAAATTTTCAAGCTCTTTGATGTGTCCGTCCAGAATTGAACTTTTTGTTCAAAATGTAACTTTTATTTTCTTTTAATATCAAGCTTTGGGTGAGAAAACCTTGTGGATTTATCGTGCGGTGAAGTAAATATGTAACAAAAAGAATAGAATAGTTAAGGAAAAAATAAAAAAAATTAATAATAAAAATATTTAAAATTTTATAATTAAAAATAAAAAAATATTTTTGAGCCATCCTAAAAATTTTCAATACCAAATTCAATCTTATAATAAACTTTGAAGGTGCTTCGATTATTTAAGGTTGCAACCTTAAACAATCTATATTGCGGATGCTCTAGTTAGATTTGGAGTAGGGGCAACAGAGCTTAGTTGTAAGCAATGGTTTAAAAACGGATCGGTGACCCGGATCGGGTTTTCAAAAAACCGATCCGGATCGGCGAATGAGCGATCCGGATCGGGAATCGGGTGAATCGGTCAGAATAAAGCTTAAAAAAAATTCGAAAAAATTATTAAAATTCATTATAAATATTTTAGG